TGTTCACAAATTATTAAATATAAGGAGCTTTCCAGTTTTAAATCTGGGATCATCATGCCATTTGAAAATATAAAAATCCACTTATATAGCTTTTTCTTCTGGTCTCATGAAATTCTGAGAGTTAGTGAATATACATTCCAGAAAGATAACAGGATTTAAGAAATATAAAAGTACCAACATTTTCCTCCTGACTGAAGGGAGTCTTTTTAGTTGAAGAAAGCATTTGTTTGCCTTCATTTCTTAGGAGCATGTTGTTAAAGAATCTGTAATTTGTTTTGAAATTTTAGTTATATTAAAAGTCACATTGATTCAGTTATAAACATTTGTGTTTAAGCTTTAAGTTTTATAACCATTTTTATTGTGACATTTATTATTAGGCTCACTTAATAATAACCTGAACAAATAGACTGACTCTCACATTAAGTTTTTAAGAGTGGGCCAGAACTCCATGAACACCAATTCCCCTAGTTATCAGTTAGAACATTCTGCCGCCCCAGACAGTTCCTATGATTTCTCTGGTCCTTTCAACCTGGGCAGATGGAGCTGTATGTGTCCTCACCCTGTACCAATGGAACTGTGATCTCTGGAACACTGCTTCTCCCACTGTGTCTCCATTCAGATCACTCCCATAATTTATTCAAAATAATTTCTCCAGCTTCATGGGGAAGTACAAGTTCAAGTTCTGCTCCATCCTTAATCTTCACTTCTAGTTCTCATTCATCTAAGGTCACATATCCTTTCCCAGTCTCCACTGTGTCCAGTGGGTGGGTGCCCTACTTAACCTCTTTGATACGTTAATTCTCAAACATACCCACATGCATTCATTATCTTTTTGGATGGCTTACCAAAATGGAGTTGCCAAGGAAATGTCTTAGTTTTCAGACTCAATGCATGGTTGTGCTGGGGGCTCCTAAAAGTTATTAGTCCAGATTAAGTCCACTAGTAAAAATAGTTATTACATTTTATAACTTATTTTAACACAGTTACTATATTTATGTTAATGTTTAATATGTTGTATGTTCTACTTTTTTTTTGCCCATAATCATCCAAAAGTCATCCTTATACTTGTTCAAAAACACATGGTACTAGGGAAGTACGGGTTTGGGGGTGGTTACTGTTGCTATTTTGCTAAGTGGGCATGTTGCCATGCTCCTTGTAAACATTTATATTTACACACAGATTTGAGCTGCTCTCAACCTTTGTCAGAGAAGTTTCTTTTTGTAGTAGGCAGTGGTAAATTCAGAAACTTATAACTGGTCAAAGTGGTGAAAACAAGTGTCTTGAGTGCTAAGCCATAATAAGTGGGACAACCTTACTTTGGAAACTATGCAAAAGGATAAAAAGAATGGAAGAGCTGGAGCATGGGGTGAAATGCTATGAAATGATGCACACAGGAACTCACAGTAGCTGTTATTATCTGCATAATACTTGCAAAATATCAAACCATATAAGATTACATGCTTTAACTATAAAGTTATTTGGAATTTATTCTATCCAAACTACAATGGTGCATAATAAAGTTTACATGAATATCTTTCTCTGATAATGCTGTATTGATGCTGACATATTACTAGAAGTTTCGGGCCACTTAATTGTTTAAAATTGTCCAAAGGGATGCATATATAGCTATACCGTACAGACATGTCAGTTTCAATGTGTATATAAAGCAAGAGAATAACTGAATCAATGCCTGTTTCTTCTCGAGGGATTCTTCAATACTTTCAACAGAGCCCAGTCTCTCTGACCATGAAAACAATAGCTCTGTACCCCAGGGTGCTTTCACAGAAAGGGAAAAATGTCCCCAAACATAATGGATGCCATATAATCATTTTTATATAAATAGTATTCACAGTTGTTAATGTGTTTGTTTAGGTGGTTATATTGAGACATAAAAATTAAGTGTAAAACAATGGGGATTAATCTAGACATACAGATAGTCTTACTTCTGATGTCATTAGTTTTCCAGTATTGCACCTGTTTCAACACTAATTCTTTGCAGCAATAATAATAGCTTGCTTAGAGAAAAGTTTGACTAAACAAAGATAGGCATTCATCAGGGAATTTTCTTCCTATCTTTACCTGGGAGTATCATTGTTCTGTCATAGACCTAAAAGTCTAAGCATTCCCACTAATGTAGATAAGCCCCATTCCTAATATATTGGGAAAGATGAGTTTTATGGATACCTTTGAAATTATCAGTTATGATAACATCAATACATTGTATTTTGCCTTAAGTTTTCTTCAAGTAATTCACATATCGAGCAAAATAAATGAACATTTTTTTAAAAAGGATGTTGTATATTGCATTTAAACACTCAGACTGGGTAACCATCATTTTGGGAAAAATACAAATATATAAGGAGAGACTGAGTTGCTAACTAAAACATTCAAATCGTTTCTTTTTAAACATGACTTCCATTAACAAACATACACACAATATAATATATATGCATTGTATAGTCATATGTGTGTGTGTGTGTGTGTGTGTGTGTGTATGATTTTTGAGACAGGGACCTGTATCCAGAGCTGACCTACAACTCCTTATGTAGGTAAAGCTGCCCTTGATCTCACAGAAATCCACATGCCTCTGCTTCATGTATGCAGACAGAAGCTGTCCACCACTATACCCGATGAATACTTATAATTTTAAAATTATTTTTAAGAAGGTTAAATATGGGAATAAATTGTAAATTAAGGGGTTATTTTCTTCAAATGAAACAGAGTTTATTTGTATCTTGAAAATATTTAAACCACAGATTACTGATGCAGTTGCACCCATTCTTGGTAACACTGAGTGCTAATGAAATCCTTAAGAAGTAGGTACAGTCCTTCAATGACTACAAAAGGTCTTAAAGAGATTTTATTTCTTATTTAAGAACACTTTCATGTTTATTTAATATGGAAAATAATTTAGACAAAATTTGTTGTATGTAAAGAAAAAAAGACAAAAGGAAACACATCCTCCCATGTTCAACTGTTTTAAACAAGCAAAACTTGAATAAAAGTAAAATGTGTTGCTATTGGAGTCATTGAATGGGAAACAGGTGGCTGCTTAACCATAGATCAGGAATTTAGTCATACTGGACATGGAATATCAATCAATTGGCAAACAAACCACTGAGTTTAAATTTTATGATGTGAAAATATTCAGTGGAGAGCATAAAAATAGAAAAGGGGGTTATGTTATTGCTGCTATATTAGAAAACATTTAAATTGTGACATAGCATGATATCAAATGAAAAATTCTGTATTAGTTTTTGGCTGTTTTCTCATAAAAAAATTCAGATTATCCTTATTGCAAAACAATTATCCAAATCTGGTCTTTGTATCAAATACATCTTTCAAAATTGTGTCTCTCTATGAGCTGAAGTGAAGATTTAATATCTTAAGTTCCATACAAAATTATAGGTGCCAGGTGTAATGGCCCATTCCTTTAAACCCAATGGCAATTCTCTGTGAGTTCAAGACTAGCCTTGTCTATATTGTGAATTCCAGGCCAGCTGGGGCTACAAGGAGACTCTGTCTCAAAACAAAAAAAAAAGCAAAAAGACTAAAACAAAACAAAACAAAAAGTAGATACAAGCAAGAATGACAAGGGTAGTTAAGTTGTAACTACCTTCAGAACTTAGGTTATCTTTAGTATTATAACAACATAAACCAGTATCATCTCCAGAGAAAACCCATATTCTGCCTATTTTTAGAGTTCTCCACAAAAGAGGATATAGTACCTTCTATTCGTATGATTTTGCTTTCTAATTTTCTTAGTGACTGAGTTTCAACTAAGATCCACTGCTTTATCTCCTCAAGTTCTTATCTCTCTTCATTCCCCACAAACACGTCCATAGCATTTTCACCCATTATCTGAAGCCGTGTCATCCTATTTTAACAATGGATATTAAGTTTGACCAAAGTTTCATGAAGAGAGGAGGGGAAATTACAGCACTAAAGCTGCAGAGTTAACACAGAATCAGATCAAACAGGTTTAAATGGACATTAATAATTTTTCACCTTCATACCTCTCATTTATGTGCCACTTGGATCTGTGCTTGATCAGCTTTTTATTTCTTCCAGTGGCCCCTTGTTTCAATTAAAACAGGTTGAAAATTGCAAAGGCATTTTGGAAAAGGAAATCATCTTCTAACAAACATCTCACAACTACTCTGATCCCATAGCCAGTACATTTCCCAGTCAACAGAAACAACTAACAGTTTTCCTCAACAAAAAGTCATGCAACAAAATACTTTAAATGCATTCATAGGTGAAATAAAAATGAACTTCACTCAAATTATATAGTATAAGTATGAATTATAATTTATTTTAGTAAAAGTAAATTAATATAATGAACTAATATATTCAAATCACAAAGGAGCCATATTACTTACATTAAACTTTTAATGGACTGCTAAATAGTAGAGATAGAAATTTTATTACAAAAAGGAAGAGAGTGATTTTTTTCTGAACTTTTATTCATGTAGCTAATGATAATATAAAAAGTATAAATTCCTAGGTGCTGAATCCTGTTTAAAGATAAAATGTGCATTCACATACCAAGACTCGATGCTCTATCTGTACAAGATAAACACAGCACACATGACAACAAAATAATAAAGGCACAGTAGCAACAGTTGTAAGCAAGTGTCTTGAAAAGTCAAGGTGTAGTTGTCCTTATTTATTAATCATCACTGGCATGTCGAAGAAACATCTTTTCACCTAGCAGAGGAGAGAAAGACAAAAATACATAGAGAATGTCTGACTGAGATTTCACATCAAAGGAAAACTAAGAAGTGTCCATGCCAATGGCATGCTAGCAAGCAATTCATTATTTTCTATGATCATTCCCATCAGAACACCATACCCATAACACCAATGATAAAAAGAAGTAACTACTCATTTATTAGATCAATGGGGGCTGAAGGAGAAATAGCTATGAAGAAAAAACTATAAATACCACACAGGTGTTGCCACAAAAATACATTAAACATAAAATCTCTCTACTGTGATTACACAGAAACTTCTCTCTTGCCCAGGGTTTTTCTCAGGGCAACTTTAACATCTTTGTTCCTTAAGCTGTAAATTAAGGGGTTCAACATGGGAACCACGATGGTATAAAAAATAGAAGAAATTTTTCCCTCATCCATTGACCCAGCTGAGGAGGGTTTGAGGTACATAAAAGAACATGATCCAAAGAACAGAGAAACGGCTATTATGTGGGAACTGCAGGTGCTGAAGGCTTTGGACCTGCCCTCAGTGGACCTTATTTGAAGGATGCTTGAGAGGATGAAACCATAAGAGATAAAGATGATGACAGTGGGAGCAATGATGTCTTTTCCTGCGACAATGAAAATCTCTGTCTCGTTGACATAGGTGCTGGTGCAGGACAGCTGCATCAAAGGGAGGAGATCACAGAAATAGTGGTTAATAGTGTTTTTATCACAGAAGGTCAGTCTGAGGATGCATCCAGTGTGGATCATGGCATCGCAAAACCCCGTCAAATATGAACCAAGCATAAGATAGCAGCACACCTTGATGGACATGGCATTGTTATACAAAAGTGGGTTGCATATGGCCACGTAGCGATCATAGGCCATAGACGTAAGGACATACCATTCAGAAATGACAAACAAACAGAAGAAATACAGCTGGGTCATGCATCCTGTATATGAGATGAAGTTCTTCTTCATTACAAAGTTCATTAGCATTTTAGGTGTAACCACAGAGGAATAGCAGAGGTCTATGCAGGACAAGTTAAAGAGGAAAAAGTACATGGGAGTGTGCAGGTGAGAATTTAGTGTAATCAAAATGATCAAAGTCACATTGCCCAGTACAATGATCAAATACATTGCTAAAAAAAGGATGAACAGTGGTATTTGTAGTTCAGGCTGATCGGTTAGGCCTAAGAGGATGAATTCAGTTACCAAAGAGTTGTTTTCAATGGCCATTCTTCTTAGAGAATCTATAGACAGGAAATAATGGTGAAATTATGAGACAACACAGTATTCCCAACACTATCTTTTCCCAGAAATAACTTACCAATGATTCTGTTAACAAGCCCAATAAACTCATTATTTCTCTAAACCAGACTTGCGATTAATTATTATTTTGATGTATTTTTGTCCATTTTAAAGTGAATACATGTTTGTTCACATCTCCCAAGGAAAAAATCACAAACGTTCATCATCATTTTTTCATGGCTTCAGCAGCTCCTGATACAAGCTGCAGCTGGACCAACCAGGTTGACCCCTCATCAAGTCTAAGTTGAAATTATGAATGTGGCTTTTAAAAAAAAAAATAAAAGAATTAGAGTCTATAGCTATATTTATGATATAAACATATTCAAAATGCAGAAGAAAGTGCCAATATCAGTTTTCCTAAAAATACAGCACAAACTCTGTGCTCACAGAGTCTCAACATGTTCTGTTCACATTTCAAGAAGGTGTTGCAAGATTTCACCTAAATCTAGGAATGGTCTAAAATAAAAAGAAAATAGCACGTTTTCAATCCCTTGACTTCACCTCGGCATGAGGCCATTATGCAAATGTAGAAAGTGAAATATTGAGCAGTGTATAGAACATGATCCAGCTGGAGCCAGAGGGTTAGAAATTCAAGTCATGCTGGCCAAGGTTTAAAATTTTTTGAGTATACAGTATGATTAAGTACTAAAGATCTAATGTTCAGCAAGCACATGAATATTGGATAAGAATGTGGTATTACATAATTGAAATTTGACAACATAATACTCTTAAATATTTTCTCAGTGAGTACATGCACACAAAAGCCATTGAAGCATTCCTACTCAGAGTTAAATGTATCCAAATTATAGTCATTGCTGTTTCATTTCACAGTAAATGTTTTAGTTCTATACTACATCTATACCATTTTCTGTGCTAGTGATACATCAATAAATGCATTTAATTAAATAAAAATATTGGTGTACATTCACTTGAAATTTTACCCTTCTTAGCACAGACACATGGTCCTTCCTTGTCGTTGTTCCTCACCTCTGTCACCGTGCAGTGGCACGGTAAGGCTATAAGTCTAGGTCTTTTGATTCTAAGAGTATGCAGCAACAATAGCTCTCTTCTTTCCTTGCATATTTTCTGACAACCAGCTTTATTTTATAATATAGTTCTTAGTATTTTGAAAAAATAAGAAAACTAAGTAGCCTCCTTATTATAAGATTTGCCATGTGATGAGACACCAGGAGACTTCACAAGGTATATAGCATGAACAAGACAGGTGTTTATGCAGTATCTTCCTAGGGAGAGATACTATATATAAAAAGAAAATTAAGCGATTGCATTTACATGGTGGCCCAGACAAATCTTTAGTTCCTTAGGGACTTAGAATTTGAACCAGCTATGCCCTTCTCTTCTGAGACTGTACATCCTCCACACTTGAGCCAATAACACAATTCAATGTCCCAATGACCTTTATGTCTTAAGGGAAATGCACTGTGTTGTTTCCTTCTCTCTTTGCTCACATCTTAATTGTAAAGTTCCACAGAGTTGGCTCCCAGGCTTCCTTATTATTTTAGCAATTTTTTTGGGGGGGTGTTAAAAAGAAAGCTACATTTTTCAAAAATAAGAAGTAGTAATAAGCAAAATAAGACAGTGCATTGAAAAAGAGGAATATAGTTTCAATTAATGAAGACATAATGGGTTCTAATGGTATATATTAATAAACTGAGTGAAAGGAGAGGCAGTGATGGAGGCACTATGCTAAGCATGCCAGTTTTAATGTTCAATTTGGAAACCATTTAGTTAAAAGATTACAGATATTAATTTTTAATTGAATTTTGTAATTTTCATACAACATAATTTGATGTTATTTAGATCCCCTCCTCTATCATCAACTCCCCTACTGCCCCCACCCAAGAATGAACTCTGTAAA